CGTGCGCGCTGGAGCCATACTGTGCAGCCATTTGTTTTGTTTGTTTTCACATTTTTAACTTCATTGCTGTTTGTTTAGCTGTGTTTTGTTTCTAATTGTTTTGTGTGTTTTCTGTTTGCTTGCTGCGGGGCGTTGTGTGTTTTTGCCCTTTCACTGATTCCAACTGCCTCATGGTGTGTGTGCGCTGCCGCTGCTGGGCTGCTGCCATTTGTGACTGTGCGGTGGCTGTGCGTGGTGTAGCGGCCGTGTCTCTTCTTTTGCCTCCGCTCTGCGTTGACGGGGAGTTATTTTGTGCTGAGGGCTGCAGGCAAGTGACAGGAGTGATGGCGATGATGATGACTGGCCGTGTGCTGCTGGTGTGTGCCCTCTGCGTGCTGTGGTGCGCTGCCGACGGCGGTTGTGAAGAGGCATCCGCAGGTTTTCAGTCTGATGCGTCCGGTGATCTTGTGGGGGAAGGTGTAGATTCACAGGATTCACCGCGCCCTGAAACGCCAGGATCACACACAGCAGGCCCAGAAACACCACTACCAAATGTTCAAGGACAAGCTCTCTCACCACCTCCTGAAGTAACTGTGTCAGGAACCGAAGGCGCTGCCGAGGAAGAAAAAGCAAGAAGAAACGAAGATGTAAAATTGGTTGAAAAGGAAAAGGAAGGTGACGGAACAAGTCAAGAGGTGAAAGAGCCTGAAAACAAGCTGATATCAGTGAAGCACCGGCAGTCGCATGACAACGAAGGCTTACAGCCACCATCATTGAATGGCACTCATGAAGCTGAAACGATAACACCATCAGAAGACAGTTTGCAAGTAAATAAAGATAAACAAGAGTTGCCGAGTCCCTTGCAGCTTCCATTACCCAACAGCGCAGCGGATGGAAACCCATCATCCACATCTGCAGCTGGCCGTGGTGACGAGAAAAGTCACGAAAACGGCAATGGCACGAGGAATTCTCAGCAGTCTGTCGCAGAAGACATTGAACAGAACAAAGACGCCGGCGAAAAAGTTGTCGCACCAACGGGTGGAGAGGAAGATTCACGATTGCCGGTTATGACGGTTGAAGAAATGCGTGGTGCAACAACGAAGGGCAACAGCGGCAGCAGCACCACGGCAGCTACGGCCATGCAGTCCGACACTGGCACAGAAGGCACTCCAACCAACAATCATCCGAACCGACTCTCCATTGACAGCGACACACCACCCGGAACTATTTCCGATGGTGAAGCTGCATCAGCCAACAAATACGATACGGTCTCTCAGAGTGCGGGATCCACAACAGCGCCCACCACAAACGCCAAAACAGGTGAAACGGCTATGCCTGGCGACAGTGACGGCAGCACCGCGGTCTCCCACACCACCTCCCCTCTTTTGCTTCTTCTTGTTGCGTGTGCGGCTGCGGCTGCGGTGGTGGCCGCGTGAGAGTGAGGGAGAGAGAGCCGTGCACCGCCCGCACACACACTCGTCCTTCACTCTCACTCTCTGTGTGTGTCCCCTTGCATGGACTCTCGCCCTCACCTCACCCCACGAAGCACACACATAATGTGCCCACTGTATATATGCATGCACACCCATGCAGGCCCGTTGGTGCTCTCTTTTGCACGACACGCACCGCTGCCGTCCTGCCTGGCTGCATGGGCGGAGCACCGTAACTGTTTTTGTTTTGTTTCCGTTGCTTTGAGTGGGCGACCTCTCTCTCTCTCTCTCTCTCTCCTTCTGTGTGTGTGTTTTGCTTTACGGGGGCAATGAGAGTGTGTGCGCTGGTCGTCCCACCTGTTGCTGCGCGTCCCCACTGCTGGGTGGACGCCCCCACGCTTCGGCTTTTTGTTGTTGGTATTTTTTATCCTCTGCCTGTGTTGTGGTTGAGTGCACCCATCCTACTTTTTTTGATTGCTGGTTTGCTTTGACTGCGGACGCCTGATTCCTCTTTGTGTGTTCCCACATTGTTTTCTTTCTCCTTCTAAAAGTGTCAGCCACTCGTATCCTTGTAAAGCCACCACGTCCTTTTCTTTTCCACATACGCCATGCGTGAGTTGATCCACGGCACCCCACGGTCTGCAGCGCTGCTGGAGCTGCTTGTGGTGATGCCTGCGACAGGAATTGCCAGCGAGTGCTTTGCTGCCACCCTGACGTATCCTTTGCTTCCTTGACGATGTAAGGCGTACCGACGGCGCGTGGGCGTCTGTGGTGATGGTGAGGCACGTGCGTCTCAAACCGTATGATGCGTCGCAGGTGTGCAGCGTCGTTTCGAAGCACCAATGGGCGTTTCTACTCATCATGGCGTCCACAACGGACCCGGATGGCAGCAGGAGGCACTGCGATTCCTCCTGGTGTTGCACAGCGACTTCGTTGGACGGCGCGCTTGATTGGCAGCTCTTGGGGCTATTGTGGGAGAAGGTGGGAGGCTGAGGGCATGAGGACTGAATTGTTTTGAGTGGCTGCGTTCCGTTGACTTGCGGCCGGTCGTGGCACTCTTTTGGGGTTTGGCGGCCCGTCTCTTTTGTTTGCTTCCCACCGCAGCACGTGGGTAACACTGGTCCGAAGAACACTTGTTTAGACGGGTGTGAGCTGCTGCCGTGCGTGGTGCGTGGACTATTTGATTGTGTGGGGAGGTGCATGGAGTGACGAATACTTCTGTTTGGCATGTCGCGGTGTGTTGGAATGATGTTCGGAAAACATGTGAGGGGTGTTGTTTGTAGTTTGTGTGTCTTCTCTGGTGGAGCCGACATGTGTGCGGGGATTATGGCATTGCTGGCTGACGGTTCCACGTCACTTTTCAGCATTCCTGGATGTGCTGAGGAATGACGGCTGGCGACCAGCGTGTTGGCACTGCCGGTGGGAATAAGTACACGAGGAATTGGCCATTTTCTCTTTCCCATGCTGGAGCCGATGGACTGGCACGAGGGCACCGGCTGCAGGCTGGCTGCCAGCACGTGTGAGCAGCGGATCCATGCACACACGGACGCTCATCGCAAGAGCTTGTGTGATCACAGTGGCTTTTGTGGCGTGCTTTTGTGGTCGCCAGCCCGTCGGAGAATGTGTGGACCAAACGGCTGACGGAACACGAGGAAAATAAGTGCGTGCACTGTGCCGTGTTTCGGCGTCGATGGCAGAGCGGCAGGAGGCCCGTGCTGGCAACTGAGATCTTTGCGTCGCGAGGGATGTCCGTGTTGATTTTGGATCGTCGAGGGTGAAATGAATTTGCTGCTGCCCGTGTGTGTGGCCACTCCGGCAGAGGGCGAACACAAAAGGGAGGGATGCAGGCGCTGCGTGTGTGTGCAGGTGCCATGCAACAACGTCACAACAAACATGCTGCGACTCGGTGACCCTTACATCGCTGTGGTCCTGACGAACAGCCCAGGCACGGCCCGCATCGATGCACTTAGTGGACGGAGTGAGGCATCTTTTGAGGCGCAGCAGGGAGCAGGATGTGTTGACGCAGCCACGACGTGCATGGAGTGTCACGATGGCACAGCCGGCTGTGGCTGGTGGAATAATTACTTCTCGGAGGCAACAGAGAGAGAGAGAGAGAGAGAGAGCTGCTGCTGCTGTTGGCGTCGTTGCTGCCTTTTGTGGCCTCCCATGCCGATTATTATCTGTCCGCTGATCATGGGTGGTGTGCCTCCACTAGTGACGTCGTCTGCAGGCATTTCACAGCACCAATGAAACGCACATCACGTCGCATGCTTTGGCTGTGGATATGGTGTCGTGCATGCAGCCGGCATTATTTTGCCCGACTCCTTTTCACTGCCCTGTGACAAATGGATGCGTCGCCGCCCGAGTCATTCGCTGCAGCTCCGTGTGTTGTACTGCCGGCACAATACTTTCGTGTTGTCTGACGCCTGGCTGACAGTCAAGCACCACCGCGTTGGGGCATGCAAGGATGTGGACTGCCGCTCACGGTGTTGGGCACCGCTGTTTGGATGCGGCGGCCACACGAGCGGATTTATTGTGGCACAATGAAATGCGCGGAATCACAGCGGCTGCAATAATATCAGCGGTGTGGCACCACGGAGTATTTGTGAGGGGGTGATGCATGATGAACCACAGTGGGCGGCATGCGAGGGAAGTGCACCGCGACGAAGCGTCACCCCGCCCTCAGCCTGCAGGGGAATGTACGCCCACAAGAATATATGGTCGAGGCACCACCAAACACACATGCCCTTCTGTGCACCAATAAATAAGAGCGAAGGTGCGTTCTGGTGCGTGGGAGTCCACTCACATATTCTCATTTCCACCGCAATAAACGGTGAGGAATCGGGTGCCACAGCAACGAAGGAGGAAATAAAAACATCTATTGCAGCACTTTTACCAGCGAAAAGCAGGAACAACACAAATTGAATTATTGGCTGCACCAACACAATAAAAATTCACAAGAGAAGGAAACAGTTGTGCACACTGCAGGAACCCCCAACACACGATGCAGGCATGAAGGTTTACCCTCCGTAAAAACAATAACAACATATGCAGACACCTTCCACCCTCCAAAAAGAAACACGAATAAATGGCTGCTTTATTCCATTCCTTGCGCTTGACTTTGCGTGTGCGGCTGCTGCGGTGGTGGTGGCTGCGCTTCCCGTGGACCAACAATCCACGTGGTGTGCGGTGATCTCTCCTTTTTCGATGGTTTCTTTGCTGTTGTGTTGCTGTGTGCGCTGCATCTATTCTCGTGTGTGTGTGCGTACCCTCCGTGAGGGGTGCAGACACGACGGACCGCTCTCGCCGCATTTACATGCGGTGGAGCCTTGTGTGCCGCTCCTGTTTGCTTCTCCCTCTTCCATCTGTGTGTTGGTGTTGTGGCAGGGCTGTGTGTGTGTGTGCCTGTTGCCGTGGATTGGAGTGTGTGTTGTGCGTGGTGTGCGGCGTACGGTGCATGCCTGGCTGCTGCCCTCTCCTCATGTGTGTTTGCCCTCTGTGTGTGTCTGCCGCACCTCTCGTCTCCCCTGTTGCTCTCCATGTCCCTCACTGCGCAGATCGGCTCCACACCACTGAACGACCACACTCACGATGATGACGTGCCGTCTGCTGTGCGCCCTGTTGGTGCTCGCCCTGTGCTGCTGCCCGTCCGTGTGTGTGACAGCAACTGGTGGAGATCAAAATAAGGTTAGCTCCAGTTTATCGCCTGCTTCGCCACAGGTAGCAGGTGTTCCGGGGCCAGCAAATACGTCCACGAAGCCAAGTTCAACAGCTCCGGCCGTTGCGTTACCGTCAAATAGTCAGGGGGCCGGTACGCCAGGGATTAAGGGGAAAAGTGCGGAAAAGCCACATGGTACGTCTGGTTTGCAGGGGGCAGCAGATGCGGCGAAGCGTAATGGACAGGAACCAATTGCAGCGGCCAGTACGTCAGACTCAGCAGAACCGAATGAAAAGGTACAGGAAACAGGAACAGGTGTTCCAGGACGCGGTGGGACAGGGCCGCGAAGTCAATCCAGTATTGGACAGGCACAAAGTGGAGACCCCACACCACAAGGATCAAGTGCGGGATCCGTTCCGCCAGAATCTCCAGATAAAGCAACTCTGGAGTCTGTTCCAAAAGAGGGACCAGGTCTGGGCACCGGTGGGTCAGGGTCGTCAGGTGGGTCGGTTAACCCAACTACATCGTCAAGTTCCGTGACCGCTTCTGTACCGGCAAAAAGTCAGAAGGAACATGCGCCAACAACAACAACAACCACTACTACGACAACTACGACAACCACGACAACCACGACTACAACAAAGGCACCAAGTACTACGACTACAGAGGCGCCAACTACAACGACCACCCGCGCACCGTCACTTCTTCGCGAAATCGACGGCAGCCCCAGCAGCTCTGCGTGGGTGTGTGCCCCGCTGCTGCTCGCCGTATCCGCGCTGGCGTACACCACTCTGGGCTGAAGAATTGTGTGCGGGCTGTGCGTGCCAGCACTCAACCGCGGGGACTTGTGTGCGTCTACTGTGGTCCGATGTACTAAACAGGATAAACTAATGATTGTGTTTTGCTTCACTTGCTTCAGCTGCCCTGCTGTGTGCTCCTTGCCGCTCCCCGCATCCGTCACGTTGAACGCATCCCAGACACACTCATATGCATGGCACGCTCACAACTGTTTGCGTGGAGCCACATTTGAGGATGGGTGCGTGCGCGCTGGAGCCATACTGTGCAGCCCTTTGTTTTGTGTGTTCACATTTTTTGCTTCATTGCTGTTTGTTTACCTGTGTTTTGTTTCTAATTGTTTTGTGTGTTTTTCTGTTTACTTGCTGCGGGGCGTTGTGTGTTTTTGCCCTTTCACTGATTTCAACTGCCTCATGGTGTGTGTGCGCTGCCGCTGCTGGGCTGCTGCCATTTGTGACTGTGCGGTGGCTGTGCGTGGTGTAGCGGCCGTGTCTCTCCTTTTGCTTCCGCTCTGCGTTGACGGGGAGTTATTTTGTGCTGAAGGCTGCAGGCAAGTGACAGGAGTGATGGCGATGATGATGACTGGCCGTGTGCTGCTGGTGTGTGCCCTCTGCGTGCTGTGGTGCGCTGCCGACGGCGGTTGTGAAGACGCATCCGCAGGTTTTCAGTCTGATGCGTCCGGTGATCTTGTGGGGGAAGGTGTAGATTCACAGGATTCACCGCGCCCTGAAACGCCAGGATCACACACAGCAGGCCCAGAAACACCACTACCAAATGTTCAAGGACAAGCTCTCTCACCACCACCTGAAGTAACTGTGTCAGGAACCGAAGGTGCTGCCGAGGAAGAAAAAGCAAGAAGAAACGAAGATGTAAAATTGGTTGAAAAGGAAAAGGAAGGTGATGGAACAAGTCAAGAGGTGAAAGAGCCTGAAAACAAGCTGATATCAGTGAAGCACCGGCAGTCGCATGACAACGAAGGCTTACAGCCACCATCATTGAATGGCACTCATGAAGCTGAAACGATAACACCATCAGAAGACAGTTTGCAAGTAATAAAGATAAACAAGAGTTGCCGAGTCCCTTGCAGCTTCCATTACCCAACAGCGCAGCGGATGGAAACCCATCATCCACATCTGCAGCTGGCCGTGGTGACGAGAAAAGTCACGAAAACGGCAATGGCACGAGGAATTCTCAGCAGTCTGTCGCAGAAGACATTGAACAGAACAAAGACGCCGGCGAAAAAGTTGTCGCACCAACGGGTGGAGAGGAAGATTCACGATTGCCGGTTATGACGGTTGAAGAAATGCGTGGTGCAACAACGAAAGGCAACAGCGGCAGCAGCACCACGGCAGCTACGGCCATGCAGTCCGACACTGGCACAGAAGGCACTCCAACCAACAATCATCCGAACCGACCCTCCATTGACAGCGACACACCACCCGGAACTATTTCCGATGGTGAAGCTGCATCAGCCAACAAATACGATACGGTCTCTCAGAGTGCGGGATCCACAACAGCGCCCACCACAAACGCCAAAACAGGTGAAACGGCTATGCCTGGCAGCAGTGACAGCGGCACCGCGGTGTCCCACACCACCTCCCCTCTTTTGCTTCTTGTTGTTGCGTGTGCGGCTGCGGCTGCGGTGGTGGCCGCGTGAGAGTGAGGGAGAGAGAGCCGTGCACCGCCCGCACACACACTCGTCTTTCACCCACTCTCTGTGTGTGTCCCCTTGCATGGACTCTCGCCCTCACCTCACCCGACGAAGCACACACATAATGTGCCCATTGTATATATGCATGCACACCCATGCAGGCCCGTTGGTGCTCTCTTTTGCACGACACGCACCGCTGCCGTCCTGCCTGGCTGCATGGGTGGAGCACCGTAACTGTTTTGTTTTTATTGCATTGAGTGGGCGACCTCTCTCTCTCTCTCTCCTTGTGTGTGTGTGTTTTGCTTTACGGGAGCAATGAGAGTGTGTGCGCTGGTCGTCCCACCTGTTGCTGCGCGTCCCCACTGCTGGGTGGACGCCCCCACGCTTCGGCTTTTGTTGTTGGTATTTTTTATCCTCTGCCTGTTTTGTGGTTGAGTGCACCCATCCTACTTTTTTTGATTGCTGGTTTGCTTTGACTGCGGACGCCTGATTCCTCTTTGTGTGTTCCCACATTGTTTTCTCCTTCTAAAAGTGTCAGCCACTCGTATCCTTGTAAAGCCACCACGTCCTTTTCTTTTCCACATACGCCATGCGTGAGTTGATCCACGGCACCCCACGGTCTGCAGCGCTGCTGGAGCTGCTTGTGGTGATGCCTGCGACGGGAATTGCCAGCGAGTGCTTTGCTGCCACCCTGATGTATCCTTTGCTTCCTTGACGATGTAGGGCGTACCGACGGCGCGTGGGCGTCTGTGGTGATGGTGAGGCACGTGCGTCTCAAACCGTATGATGCGTCGCAGGTGTGCAGCGTCGTTTCGAAGCACCAATGGGCGTTTCTACTCATCATGGCGTCCACAACGGACCCGGATGGCAGCAGGTGGCACTGCGATTCCTCCTGGTGTTGCACAGCGACTTCGTTGGACGGCGCGCTTGATTGGCAGCTCTTGGGGCTTTTGTGGGAGAAGGTGGGAGGTTGAGGGCATGAGGACTGAATTGTTTTGAGTGGCAGCGTTCCGTTGAATTGCGGCCGGTCGTGGCACTCTTTTGGGGTTTGGCGGCCCGTCTCTTTTGTTTACTTCCCACTGCAGCACGTGGATAACACTGATCCGAAGAGCATTTGTTTGACCGCGTGTGAGTTGCTGCCGTGCGTGGTGCATGGACTATGTGATTGTGTGGGGAGGTGCATGGAGTGACGAATACTTCTGTTTGTCATGTCGCGGTGTGTTGGAATGATGTTCGGAAAACATGTGAAGGTTGTTGTGTGTAGTTTGTGTGTCTTCTCTGGTGGAGCCGACACGTGTGCGGGGATTGTGGCATTGCTGGCTGACGGTTCCACGTCACTTTTCAGCATTCCTGGATGTGCTGAGGAATGACGGCTGGCGACCAGCGTGTTGGCACTGCCGGTGGGAATAAGTACACGAGGAATTGGCCATTTTCTCTTTCCCATGCTGGAGCCGATGAACTGGCACGAGGGCACCGGCTGCAGGCGGTCGTGCCAGCACGTGTGAGCAGCGGATCCATGCACACACGGACGCTCATCGCAAGAGCTTGTGTGATCACAGTGGCTTTTGTGGCGTGCTTTTGTGGGCGTCAGCCCGTCGGAGAATGTGTGAAGCAAACGGCTGACGGAACACGAGGAAAATAAGTGCGTGCACTGTGCCGTGTTTCGGCGTCGATGGCAGAGCGGCAGGAGGCCCGTGCTGGCAACTGAGATCTTTGCGTCGCGAGGGATGTCGGCGTTGATTTTGGATCGTCGAGGGTGAAATGAATTTGCTGCTGCCCGTGTGTGTGGCCACTCCGGCAGAGGGCGAACGCAAAAGGGAGAGATGCAGGCGCTGCGTGTGTGTGTGCAGGTGCCATGCAACAACATCACAACAAACATGCTGCGACTCGGTGACCCTCACATCGCTGTGGTCCTGACGAGCAGCCCAGGCACGGCCCGCATCGATGCACTTAGTGGACGGAGTGAGGCATCTTTTGAGGCGCAGCAGGGAGCAGGATGTGTTGACGCAGCCACGACGTGCATGGAGTGTCACGATGGCACAGCCGGCTGTGGCTGGTGGAATAATTACTTCTCGGAGGCAACAGAGAGAGAGAGAGAGAGCTGCTGCTGGCGTCGTTGCTGCCTTTTGTGGCCTCCCATGCCGATTATTATCTGTCCGCTGATCATGGGTGGTGTGCCTCCACTAGTGACGTCGTCTGCAGGCATTTCACAGCACCAGTGAAACACACATCACGTCGCATGCTTTGGCTGTGGATATGGTGTCGTGCATGCAGCCGGCATTATTTTGCCCGACTCCTTTTCACTGCCTTGCGACAAATAGATGCGTCGCCGCCCGAGTCATTCACTGCAGCTCCGTGTGTTGTACTGCCAGCACAATACTCTCGTGTTGTCTGGCGCCTGGCTGACAGTCAAGCACCACTGCGCTGGGACATGCAAGGATGTGGACTGCCGCTCACGGTGTTGGGCACCGCTGTTTGGATGTGGCGGCCACACGAGCGGATGTATTGTGGCAGAATGAAATGCGCGAAATACGCGGAATCACAGCGGCTGCAATAATATCAACGGTGTGGCACCACGGAATGTGTGAGGGGGTGATGCACGATGAATCACAGTGGGCGGCATGCGAGGGAAGTGCACCGCGACGGAGCGTCACCCCGCCCTCAGCCTGCAGGGGAATGTACGCCCACAAGGATATATGGTCGAGGCACCACCAAACACACATGCCCTTCTGTGCGCCAATAAATAGGAGCGAAGGTGCGTTCTGGTGCGTGGGAGTCCACTCACATATTCTCATTTCCACCGCAATAAACGGTAAGGAATCAGGTGCCACAGCAACGAAGGAGGAAATAAAAACATCTATTGCAGCACTTTTACCAGCGAAAAGCAGGAACAACACAAATTGAATTATTGGCTGCACCAACACAATAAAAATTCACAAGAAAACAGTTGTGCACACTGCAGGAACCCCCAACACACGATGCAGGCATGAAGGTTTACCCTCCGTAAAAACAATAACAACATATGCAGACACCTTCCACCCTCCAAAAAGAAACACGAATAAATGGCTGCTTTATTCCATTCCTTGCGCTTGACTTTGCGTGTGCGGCTGCTGCGGTGGTGGCTGCGCTTCCCGTGGACCAACAATCCAAGTGGTGTGCGGTGATCTCTCCTTTTCATGGTTACTTTGCTGTTGTGTTGCTGTGTGCGCTGCACCTATTCTCGTGTGTGTGTGCGTACCCTCCGTGAAGGGAGCAGACACGACGGACCGCTATCGCCGCATTTACATGCGGTGGAGCCTTGTGTGCCGCTCCTGTTTGCTTCTCCCTCCTCCATCTGTGTGTTGGTGTTGTGGC